TCGTTCCGAGAACTTTTTCTCGGAGATTAACGAACTGGCATACTGATGGACGATGTCGCCAAGGTCGGTTTTACCTGCAACTTCTTGATATAGTAAAAGACTAGAGAATTGCAGTAGCAAAAACAAAGGTGAACGATAGTCTTCCACAAAAATTCCCTTATAGGTGAAATGAAAGTGAATAGCGATGGGGTGGTTGAAGGACAGTACATTCGGCAAAACATGGAAATGTAATCATGTTTGAGCAATCATGCTCACAGCCTGCCTTCTTGAATGGTAGATGAATTTTGGTTATGAAGACATATTTCACAAAAAAAAGAAGTGACAGAAGACGTTCGAAATAGGGCCCTGGTTCGACTAGCGGAAGTGTGTTCGTCTGAATGATCGTGGATTCTCCTTTTATTAAACAGACTGTCTCTCATGCACTTCACCTTTCCATTCCGTCGAGACAGTTTGAGCTGTGGAAGACAACAGGCCTTCCAAAGCTCAAACTGTGGAGGTCTGAAACAGGGCATGAAGGAAAATTTCGCGCTTGATTACACGAATCAAAGCATTGCCATGGAAAAGCTACTGTGGATTGCAACGGACAATATTGCACCAGGTTCGCTTCAGAATATCTAATTCAAGAATCTTATGGCGCAGGGCTGGGTTGCTCAAGTGGCTCTAACAAAGACGGAGGTGACTTCGTGCGCGTTGGTATTTCCTGTCTTCCTCATTTAAATGCTATCGGTCTATCCTGTCGGCCCGATATGGAGCCCTACTTGTGAGCCACGACATCGACCTAGTGGCATTTTATTTCCTGGCCAGCTGGCTGGACAGCAACACGCACAGAGAAAGCTAGTCGACTTGTGAAGGGTAGACGCAGAGAGGGGGGGGGGGCAGGGGGGGGGCGCAGCACTGGTACGTCGAGTGGATTGGGCACTGGTGCGAATGTAGGTACGTCTCCTTGCTCGTATCATCTACTATGCCGCACACCCCTCGACTTGAAAGAATGAAGCATGCTTTCACAGCACTTTTAGCTTACATATACAGAAGAGTCTTCGGCGTCGCGCGAAAAATTAGAATACAAGCGAGAAGGCTTACTGCAGGCTTTTGAGACTATGTAAGCTTTCTAATTTTCCTTCACCGGCCGCTCAGCAAGCACATACTGTTCAGCTTCTAAAGCCGGCCGCCTGCGATGTTTTCAAGGGCCTTCAGCGAATTAAGGGGTTATGAGGACTTGAAGCGCTGTGAATCGCGAAGGAAAGCCGTATGGGAACAATCAACTGAATGACTGCTTGTTAGAAGTAAAGAGGCGGGCGCAACAATGTTGAGCAGGATGAGTTTTCACGTACATGAGACCGAATGATATTCAAGTATTGCAAATACAGTCCACACATCATGATCGTTCTTAACACTTTTGGCATAACTCATGAAGACACATAGCGATATGTAACGAAAAACAGGACTCAGCAAATCAAACATGAATAAGAGACTAACCAAGGGCTTCTGCAAAACCTTCTTTACTCCTCCAAAGCACCTCATCTGGCAGCCATCCTTCGAAAGCACTTCGTAGAATGAACTTCTCCAGCTTCATCGGGATCAGTTTATAGGTTGGAGGAAGTCGCGCGACGAGATCGATGAACCTAAATTCACCACAGCTGACTCAGTAGTACCTTCTCCAAGGTGTTACTAGATGTACCTCTTGTCCAGGAATGGCACACGAATTTCCAAGCCGTGACACGATGTTGATCTGTCGCACCTCAGTACATCGTATTGATGAAGGTGTGTTAATCGACGAAGGATTTCTTTATGCAGATGGAATGCATTCGGTGCTCGTTGCATATATGCATAGGATCCGAAAAGCTCATCTGCACCTTCCCCTGGAATTTTCAACAATAAGATAAGCGGTGCGTATAAGTTTGACATACAGTGCGAAATAAGGATTAACTTGTTGGCATTTTGGGCACATTTTGCGTAGGCCGAACCCCTCCTCGCACGAGTAGGCCCGCAACCGCACATTGGGCTCCACGTCGCCACTTGAAAGTGCCCACTAAAAGCGCCATGGACATGTGGACTAACTTTGGCCTCAACTTCTACATTCTGCTCTCTCTAGTCTTACATGTGTTCCATTGGCGAAGGTTTGTAGCGGCACGCTTGATACGCGCGCGGTCGGGTGGAGGGGGGGGGGGATGGGGGATCAAATCTCAGATTTGCTCCCGCTCATGAACAGCAAGCCTTCTGTCCTCTGGGGATGGTAAACTGGTACCACTTCGTATGAGAGGATGAGGACACTGGCTTGTACATTGGTAAGTTCCCGATGTCATTGTATAGGCTTCGTCGCATTCGACGAGGCCAACGATTCTGAATGGAAGTAGAGTGCGTGCCGCTTTCCAGAAGTGATTGACCAACGGGGAACAATTTATCCTTTATTTTCTATGAATGGGATTGATATTGAGAAGATATACTTCTTTGATTGGGCGCCTGCATAGTCTCGCGCCTCCGGTTGACTAATCTCTCTTTTGCGCCACTGACAATGAGCATTTCTGGGTCAAAATTCACATGAATATGAATGAAGATCGACAGGCTCTTGCTCAGATGATATCCCACTAGGAATACTGTTTTCAGCTTCACTGGTCAGCCATTTGATGCCTTTAAATCCATACGTGAACCTCACTAGCCGTGACTAGCAATCACGGTGAATAAGTGCGGTTCCCTGAGGACTTGTATTATATGTAATAATACAAATCCTCAGGGAACCCCTCCAAGCATGCGACTCTGACTTTAGACAAAACGTTAAAATGTGTAGGTCTTTGCTTCGATAGCTATTGTTATTACTGAGGTTTAATGGTATTATCAATACAAAACAAGTGATCTGTATAAGATTTATGCATAGCAGCGTTTGTACTAGAGGTTGGAACCGACATTGCGACTGCGATTTATATTTCTGTTTCTTGGGAATAGACTATATGTGCAGTTGCTCTCTCATCGAACGCAAGAAACTCAATGTGAGGTCTCTTCCCAAAAAACCTTAAGGCACCGCTCTTACAGTCTGGAAAAATGGTTGAGCTCGATATGGCGCTGCGCGATGCCTTTATTGAAGTCTTTGTTTACTACTAATCGCTCTGTTCCTTGAGTTGAAACTCCCTCGGCTATATATTCATCAAGTCTCCTGAGGTTATTCAAGATAAATTTCAAAGACGACCGATATTCACGGGTTTTCAACTGTTTTTAATCCGTTAGTTGCGTTTATCATGTCCATCACTTCCCTAAATGTGAAGTGTGATTCAGAACCCCGTCTATGGTTCGAAAAGTTCATAAAAATTTCAGAAGTGGATCCACGCCGAGTTGTTGACGGTTTGCTTTGTCCAGCTTATCTTTGGAGCGGACCTCTTGAGCAGGCCATTTTCGTCGTAGAACACACACAGACGAATGTTTACGTAACCCTTTCTGGGAGGTCATTATCGTGGGAAAAGAAGTGCTTAAGCGGTTGTGTCCGCAGATGTCACCTTCCAGAGAAAAAAAGACGCGAAAAGTGCTTCGAAGAGCTAAGTGGATGAAATAAAAAGCAAAAGGATGAAACGCGCAAAATTTTGCCGAGAGCATCGAGCACTGGCCCTCAAAGTTTTAGTGGAAATTTCAGTATTTTTGGTCAGAAAAATAGTATTTTCGGTAGGCTCTTGGGTGGATATCTGTATTCAACAAATAGAACATCACTGCCGTCGAGTAACTGCCTGAGCGAGTTCTATAGTGGACTTCCCTGCTATGGCAAAGTATTCCTGCTCCAAGGATACTGAACAGTGTGGTTATCCGGAGGCTGAGTACATTCGAACACACGTATGTTCACTACTTCCTAAATAGATCTGGAGCTCATAGTGTATCTTAGCCTTCCTCCAACCAATAGGCTGACTCCGGTGAGGCTGGATAAGTTCACCTACGTAGGAGGATGGCTGCCAGATGAGACGCTTTGGAGGAGCTAAGACGGCCCAGAAATCCATGGCTAGTTTCTTGTGATTAGTTTAATTTGCGCTATGCGATTTGCGGTTGCTACGTCGGCGATCCTTTTAAGAGTCCCTAATCAGCAAGCTGATCACATAGTGCTGTTAGACGAGGTAGACACTTTCCAAAAGATCTCCTGGTGTCGTTCTTTATTAATTACACACCACTGAGTGTCACCTCATAATATGCCTTTCCGCTAATCATCAAACTGCTTGAGATTGCCTCAGCAGCAGGCCCTCAGCGTCTCGCCCCTTCTGCGAGTCAGGGAAGTCAAGTTAATCCTACCACCCCCGGCTCCCGAAGCCAATTATTCCCTCAGTGTGGAAATTTTCTGAAAAAGTCTGACCATCGGAGAGTGTTGTGGTGGTCAACTGACGCCTCCAGGGGATCCGCTCTGTAGCAACTCTGGTCCAATGGTCATCACAAAATGCCAAGTCAAGCCCACCTGGCCCTTAATTCCTCGGCAAATGCAGCAGCGTCCCTCAATTTCGACTGCTGACGAAATGCGCATCTCTGGATTCATTTTGCTTATGCGTGCACAGGTATCAAATAGCGTAGCCAAAGGAATTCTACGTGGGCAAATTTGACTCCGAAGAGCTTTTTATTCGTGACAGAGCTTTCGAGAGTAAGTTTCATTTGTTATTGTTTTCTCTTCTTCCAGACGTACGTTAGATCCCAAGCCGAAAAGGATGTTAAGGTTAGGCCTGTAAGGCAGTTTGTCTGCTGCTGCTCACAGATCAATACACTCAACACACGTTATGAACTCCAGCTACTTCTGCTGGCGTCAAAGTACGATCGGTAGCCGCTCGGCTGCCGCTGGTTAGGCCTGTAAGGCAGTTTGTCTGCTGCTGCTCACAGATCAATACACTCAACACACGTTATGAACTCCAGCTACTTCTGCTGGCGTCAAAGTACGATCGGTAGCCGCTCGGCTGCCGCTGCCACCGTGTCTGCGATACTGTTTGCAGAGCCAGGATTTGCAACTGCAAGAAAAAAGAAAGAAAAATAGAGCGTGACGATGTGGATTATGCATGCAAGAAAAAAGAAAGAAAAATAGAGCGTGACGATGTGGTATGCATTGCGCGATGGCGAACGGTAAAAAAAACAGGTGGCACAAATATCGTTTTTTCTGACAAAACGGGCCATAAGCACTTGCGTGACGTGCGCTATTTGGCTCAAGGGGGGGGGGGGGGCAGGAGGGAGAGTGGACGCAATTTTTCATTCTGATAGTTTCATGAATTTCCAGTTAACTCTCACGTCTTACCTTGATGAGACCTGTAGCTGTGAGCAAAATTCGTAGTGCTGCATAGTTTTACAAGAATTACAGGTTTTCAAAGGAGGTTTTGGCGGTGAGCCATGGAAACCAGCGAAATGCCCCTACCGAACCGAACAGCGCCTGCGTGAGGTTTGCTCAGAGAAAGGGGATACTTCAACGCCTAAAGTCTACTCCTAGGGAGAGCCTAGTTCACCATTTATCCTGCCTATATTAGCCCGTGACATTCCTTGCTGCAAGAGTGAAATCGCCTGTTTCTCCAACAGAAAACTCGAAGTTCTGGCACAAGGCAGGAGCCAGGCAGACTGAAGTTTAGCTGAGTTCTTCTGCCATTGTCCTAATTTAGAGACTGTATTCCCAGCGTTTGAGTTAGTCACTTTCTGACCTCAAATTTGTGGATGGAATGGGCCATTTGGATAACTAGGAACGTAGAGGGAACGGAATTCCATCTTGTGGGAGCACACTCAAGAAAAAACGTGTTAATTTTGTTACTGGCATTTCAGAACTTTCTGAAATAGGCTACTGAAAAGACCGACCTCTGGAGAAGAATTTATGAAAGCTAACATTTCAAGCGTTAACGGGACCACAACCTTTTGGCGAATCCCGTAGATAATTCTGTAATTCTTGTGAGCCCTCTGCTTAATTGACAACATACACATTCTTACATACACTTGATATTGTTGATATATATGATGTATGATACAGTTTACTAACTACACCTAACAGGAGTGGTATCGTTCCACTCATGTAGTGGTGGACTGGCTTCGGACGACGACCCCGTCGAAACGTCAGGTCAATTTCAATAAAGTCTTCCACCTACCAATCTCTTTGACAGAATACATTACATTTTGAAAGTTCACCATAATGCGGAGGATTATGAAGAGAGAAGCTGGACACAGTTGTATGCAGATCTGCTGCCCTACTCATTCGAATTTTTGTGTGCTGGCTAGCGAAGCAAGAAGCAGCCGTCTCGTGTGCCATGTATATGGAAGTGCTTGTTCGACGGTGTTCGTCACATGTCTGGACCGCATTTGTAACGGTGTGGCACGTAGCCAATGAAGCTGGCAAAATGCCCTGACAAAATACCTTTCCGATATGTAACGCGGTCATACCCTTCGCGGCGACGAGTGACAAGCCCATTGGCAAATGACCGCGGCGTATCCCAACCAGCGATATGCGTTTGCCACACAGACTTAACAAGTAGTTCCAATTCCCACCGATTAGGTATTTCATTGGGCCCTGTCACCGAGCGAGATAAACACCAAAGATTAAAATTTAGAAGAGGATACTGGTCGGACTAGAACATAACACAACATTATCGCCTTTTTAGGTCAGTAGAAAGAACGCACCTGACAAGAGTACCTTGACATCGGATGTCTTTGCGATGTGCTTACAAAGAAGATAGTGGGCGATACCACAACGTACGATAAGTGGGTCGAACGTCTCCAAAGCGTAGATTACTTCTGGAACATGCATCAGTTCACGACGTTCACGACGGGGTCAAACTGGCGAGCATATTCCACCAACCAGGTACACTCATAAGACACTTCATCCCGGTTGTAATCACTAGCACTTCATGTGATCTTAGATATTCGCCACTGGTTCTATGCCACTTTTCAAGATCCGGCGCAGTTCGACAAACGACCGAAAAGGTCATATTGGTTTCTGAAAGAACATTATTTGTTGAGAGAAATGGCAAAGGCAGACCAAGAAAGATCAAAAGTCAGTGCGCCGCGCAGAAACAAGAGGTATTTTTTGAAGTGCGAAGATCACACCGACCTCTGCCCTCTTCATTTCGGATAGCTCGCTGACTTACGACAGTAATTTTGGCTTCTGTAAGAAGCGAGTATACTAACGCCAGCATATCCCAAGAAAAAGCCGTCACGCTAAAGAGAACGTTCATACAGCTTCTACAGATGCGGGTGGCCATTGACCCATCCACATCCGTACAAGCTGTAGGATGTTGAAAGTTTGGAGAAGGCCTTTAATTCGCTAATTTTACCTTAGCAAGAAACTTTTGCGTTGCGCTTTTGCGATAGAGGCTATCAGAGAAGAGTCGAGTCCACCGGATAGCATGAAGCCGAACTGACGATTTCCCATCAAACGTTTCTCAACGGACTTCACAAGGACATCTCTTATGAGCGTCTAAATCACCCACTTTTTTTGACAATCACCTGCAGCATGGATTTCGAAGGTCATGTATTTAAATGTATATAATGGTAAACTTTTTGTATCAAATCTCACCTGTTTCGTTTGGGCATGCTAAGGAAGTCTATCGCGCGATGGCCAGGGTATCGACGCTAGTAATGTTGCGGCGGCAATAGATCTTTGAACCGAACTAAGCATATTACTTCGCTGAGGACGTGTAGCCGTACAAATTGTAGAATACTTATGTGTAATGATGCTAACACATAAAATGAGTGTGAAAACGGGCAAGTCTGGCTCTTAAGAAAACACAGAAACCGCTGCTGACACGAATGCCACAGAACAGCGAAATCGTTTTGAATACGAAAAGACTGGAACAGTGCCATTCAGAAAGATCTCATCTGCATTCAGCATCCCTTGCAATAAAACTGGCTACATCATCCGTATGGGTGAAATTGTTGATGGTGGTATCTGATCGCCTCTCACGGCCATCAATCTACCTTTCATGCGAGTTTCTTATATACAAAATTAAGCACTACAGGGAGACGCGAGAAGGGGTAAGGTATCCCTATCAGGAACTGTCACTATAAGAGATAGTAATAGCGTTGCCGTGCCGCCACCTACAAGGATATAGCGCTTTCGACGTCAATGGCAACTCCCTCCCTCTCCCACACTTTCCCAGCTACCAGATACGACCCTTTTCTTAATTCTGATTCGCAATGAGAGTGCATTTTAGAGCGACGTAGTGAAAAGCACACGGTTAGATAGTGTGGACATTCCTGTTCATAAATTGAAATGGGTCTCTAAACCTTGCCGGTGGTCGTGATTAGGAATTTGGGGAGGTTGATGTATTTTCAGCGGATGCTCCAGCACTCCTTCCGTTAGCGTAACACATTTAAACTGGGCTTGCACGTGCAGAAAGTCTTTAGATGTGCCGCATTTCATATTGTTTTCTGCTCTTTTTTTGCTCCGTTTTGCTATTGATCTTCACCCGGTTGATTTTCTCGTTTCTCGCAGATTAAGGCCAAACTGCATGAGAAAAGAAAGCACCTAGTTCTTCCGTGAATTGGCACGACAGCACAGCATCCAGGTGGGAAATAGTCAAGCCGATCGCATAGCTGTTCCGTACACTTGACTTCTGAGCCGATGATTAGAGCTCCTGAAAAGTGGTTTGTAGTTTCAACCACATGAGTCTGTCCACAGTTTCATTGAATAAAATAAATTGATTCAGCGTTGTTCCAAAAGGTCAATCTCAAATAGTAGTGGTCTACATTTCGTAACGGACTAGCCATGCACCAATTCGTAGTTCTATTGCTCGTGGGTCTCTTCAACTACTCCTGCTGGAAATAAAGAAAAAGCTTTCACAATCATTTCACCGTAGCTCCGGCATTTTGCCCTCTTAGAACACCATCTTCCTCACCGCAAGAGTAGAGGATGAAAGTCATCGCCGTTAATCATTCTCTTCTTGGGATGCGGCACGCATTCTACTTCCATTCAGAATCGTAGTGGCTTATTGAATGCGATGTGGCCTATACAATGACTTGCGGGGGCCAGCCGATGTACAAGTCAGTAGACTTCCCAGACAAACTGGCACCAAATTTTCGTCTCTGTTGGTTGAGGGCATGGAGCCCGATTCGGGATTCGGTCTCCGTACCGTGCGTGTGATAAGCGTGTAATTTGCAACTACACCACCTCTGCCTTCTTCATTTCCTTAGATTCAATAAATATCCACAGCACGGCTTGAGCATCAGGTGCATACGTGGAGGTGCTTGCAAGAAAGGCGCTAAGCGCATGGAGGGTACTCCCGACATTCTCTTCGTCACGGGATAAGCGACTTTATTAGACATTTACTTCGCATTCTGCTCATAATCCTGGTATCTTGGGAATCCGTTTAGACGACGTTCCTGGCGTCCAGGGAGCCTGTCCCACCAACATGACTACTCCGGTGAAATCTTAAAAAAACAAATCATGAACCATAGCAAAGCTGGCCAAGGAACTGAATGGCTTTTGGCTTCCAATATCAAAGAGAAGGTTTTTAGGAACCTGCATGCAAGTGAATCAGCCCCGGAAATCAGGAAGCTTCTCCAGGTTGAGTACTGTTGCGCTCGAGGTCGTCAGCCAATATGACCCGCTTTCTGGACACTCTAGTGGAAAGCTTGCTTTGGTTTACAGAAAACATCTCAACGATATTTAATTGTGCAATTTCCATGCACTTTATCACGACCTACTGAGAATTTGAACTTAGTCCGTTGAATGGAGTCAAATTGCTGTTTTCTCTGCATTGCCTCGCCTGAATGGCATTCTGTGGTCATTGGGGCCTCACACGTTTCAGCTCTCCACAAAACACAGTGGGGTCACCCAGCCGGGAGTACCCCCCTCCCCTTGAAAAAGCTCACACCCTGGCTCGCCGCATGTTTCCTGCACATTCTGATGTTTTGACGGCCGCTCCTGTATCATCTGTCTACATGGTTTCGCAACAGACCATGCACAAAAGTGCAAGGTGTCACGTAACCCTCTGTCATCTTGTGCGTCGTAAACAAGTGTGATCCGTGAGTTGTTTTCACCGTGCACCAGATAAGATTCGATTATTTGGTACCAGCAGAAGGAATCCCATGCTTTCACGACAGTACCCTTCCTGCTGTAGGACTCATATGAAGGATGACGTGGGCGACGGTAGACGTGTTTTTTATTTGCGTACAGGACACCACACCGACAGTCATCACATTACGCTTCCGGCTTCGATAGACAATTTGTGAATGAGTGAATCAGCGCGCAGCTTAGACTGCTCGTCACGAAGAGGCAGCAGCAGCACAAGCATAGCAGCTCCGGATCGTTGTTTACTCGATAGTGTTTACTCGATGGAAACAAGCTGGAGATAAGACAACAATATCATGTGATTATTCAGTCCCGTCTACCGTCCACTGAACAAGTTCCCGCTCGACTGGACGTGAAATGCCAAGCTGAAAGACTTACCGGATCCTGAGAATCCATAGAAAAGTGGTCGAACTCCTAGAGGATCTCTACCAATGTAGATGTTGTCCTTGTCGACCATCACGAACGCAAACACGCCGTCTATGCTAGCACAAGCTTCGCGTAAGTTGTAGCCTGCAAAGAAGTAAGGAAAGTTACCAACCTTTCGAGTTTACAATTATGTGTTAATGTAGAGCTAAAACTTGAAGGTGTTGGCTGTGAATCCATAGGTATTGGTCAAAGGCAGGGAAACGCTACTACCTTCCGTCTCATACCAGTGATTCCCTCGGTTAAAGACATTCACGCGCTTAAGCAGTTCGTGGGCGTCGTTCCTTGTAGAGGTGCTCTGGACCTCATTCTCTGAGATCATTCCGCTTTAGCGGCATCATAGTAAGTAACGAAGGCGGTGTGGCCCTCATAAGTGGCGGTTCTGATGGCTCCCTAGTTTCCCCACCCACCAAAACTCAGAGGCCATCTTTTGTCACGAGTTCAGTTTTCTACAATTTTTTTCGCTGTTAAATGGTATCAGCATTGGATGGCCAAGGAAACGATCAACGAGCAAGGGGTGGCAGGATATCCCTTTGCTGGCATGAGGAACAGGTCTGGAGAACTGATCCAGAGGTGCCCAGGTTCTTACTTAAGGTATTCTCCATGACCTTTCTGCTTTTGCTTTCTCCCTGGAGAGTCATCTAGCGACTACAGGGTTCAAACGGAACACCGCTTTCCGCAATATTCATTGCAGGGGTTTGTCTTAACACGAGGTGGAATTGTCGGTGGTGAAAAAACAACAGTTCACCCTAGCTATTCTCGATTTCACGAAAGGTTGGATGGGAAAGTTGGACACAGTTCGGCGACGGGGGACATTTCGCACTTTTGCTACTTCCCATCGACGCATCGACACATCTAGCGAGCCATTTCGTGGGCTCACAAAAGTTGACAGGTTTCACCATGGTGGCTAGACGAGCTTGCTCCAGCTTCACAAGTGTTTACAGGTTTCATCAGAGTGAGATTTTTAGGCCGGAAGTAGTGAAGCAAGGAAAGTGCAAAATGCCTCCCGTCAGCTGGGAATGTTTATATCTAAAACTCCGAACAAAGGGTATGAGTTGCCCTCCCTGAAACAAAAGGCCCTATGGTTCATGTCCTTTCGTTCCGATTGTGGCCTGTTTGAGACGAGATGGCCTAAGAAAGCTGGATAAAAACGGAGTAAGGGAATGTGACAGCAGAAATCTACCCCAGGCAACATGAAATTGAAATAGTGATGTTGCTGTGAGAGTAGTGGTAAGGATGAGATTTAGGAATTGTGAGAGAGGAGGACACAAATTTTACCTGAATTGATAAAGGCATGGATGATCGCCGCACAGTCGCTACCGTCATTCATCAGTTGAGCGTTGGAATTCGCCTAAATAGGAGGTAAGGTACCATGCCTTCACAAGGAAAGCTACATATGTGGCTTCAATAGACTGCTCAGAGTCTTTCTAATTACTGGCAGAAATGCTACATGTCAACTCACTTTTATCTCTTTGTGATTATAAATTTCGCCATTACATACAACTGCCAAGCCCTCGCCAACGATTGGTTGCTCGCTGGGAGCATCGCCAGGCTGAAAGAGAACTACAATGAGTATTCTGCTATACAGTGTAAATGTTATAAAGTCCAGGTTTTTCTCTCTTTGTTCTCTTTTCAGTTTGTCAAGAGCGCTACATTCGTATGACCTAGTCTGTTCGATGCGAAACCCTAAGGGAAGCGTTATAATGGGGCTCGGTTTGGCGCGGTGCAGCCTGTTCTCCACCAGTAATGGTTACTTGCCAGCTTCTACAGTTGGTGAGCAAGCTGGTATCGCGTCATACCCAGCCCATGAAACGCACCAGCGTCCTAGCGAACAAAGCCCTACATGCCTCCTACGAAAGACTCGTAACCAACGCGATGAGGGAAGGCGGGGAATCCTTAGAGTACAAAAAGTTGGAACAAAACTTTGGAAAGGAAAGGGAATGTCAACATTAAAGGCCCCCAAGACGACTAGGATCAATACTCCTGGCAGGATAGAATTCCGCGACCCTGGGCAGGCGCTGCATAGCGGTTTCCCGAGAAGGTGCCCTTATAAGGGCCCTATCAAGCCACAACTTTACGTCCCAAACGCCCGCCCGCCCACAAATGGACGACCGTTCCTGACGCTCGTATTCATTCATTTGCTAAGCAAATTATGAAGCGAAGGGATTGGTATGATGCTGCATGCATACAGTCGTATCTTCGGTAGCGGTGATTGGTAAGATGCCTACGGGAAACTCGTCCGAAATCGATTTACAAGTCACTGAGAACGGAGGCTTTTTCTTCGCAGGATTTTGACCGTTTCACTCCGTTCTTTCGCCATTTCCCCACTATACAGCGCCCTACTAGCATTTTAGGCTAAGTAGGAAACCATCGTGCCAACTGCCTTTAACTTTGATATGTATAAACAGAGGAGATCTTAACAACAGACAGCTCCACGTATTTTCTTGAACATGCTCCAGCGCCCACCAATCAACTGTGATAATGTGGGCCTCGATCACACGATTTCAGCCATTTCTTTTCCTTCCTCTGGTAGGGATGAGCCCATAGTTGTCTTAACTTGTGCCAACAACCGTGCCGCGTCATGCTCAACGATTCAAAAGATTTAATCGCGTGGCTGCGTGTGATTGCGCTCCGTTACTAACAGCTGCAGCAGTCGAAATGAGTTCTATCTTGAATGTGGTTGGATTTGCACTTACAGAGGTCCAGTATGCCAACTGCGGAGAACGGTTTACCCAAGTCCTGTAATTCTCAAATGGAGCGAATGAGTTGGTCAAGGCGCGGAGTACGAGACCAGTAACAAGCACGTCAGTTCGCAACTAAGCTATCATGGAATGTGACTTTAAGTTACAGGAATTTTTATTTAACTGAGATGCGGAATAAAGAGTTCTAAGAGTTTAAGAATAAAGAGTCCGGAGTTCTTTCCATTGAAACAATGTTTCTAATGAACCTCTATTCCACACAAGGACAGTCCTAAGTTGGTAGAGATGCGAAATACAGTGAAGTATTTAAAGAGTCAAAGAACCGTTGAGAAATAAGGTAGGGCTGTAGTTGCTCTCTGGGGGGGGGGCAGACTATCAAAAGACTCCTACTGTAGAACTAGGATTATAATAGAGCGAAGCCTTGCTTTCACGAAAAAAAAACTTGGTCCATCGACTCCGCAGCTTCCTCCTTATCTGGGATTAGACGAAGTTTCTCATTGCCTTCACGTAGCATCACTTTTCCACTTGGAATTTTTTGAATGCTTCATCCCCACGGCAAGCACGTTCTGAGTAGGGTAGTGTCCGAGCACAATGTAACTACTCAAAAGAAGAAGAAGAAGAAGAACAGTAATGCCGAACAGTAATAAATAAACCGTTTTCCTTGAGAGTGGGGAGATGGACTTCAAAGTTGTGGATTCAAGAATCCACACCTTGTCCATTTTCCAGAAACGGTGGGTGCACTTTTATCTGGTTGAAATTCCACACTTTTAGTGATTGAAATTCCCACGATATTCTCTAGATGAAAGGTACACCAACTACTTTCGCAGGTAAATATTGCAGTGCTCCCACAACTTGAAAATAGTTCAAAAATTCTCGATTACAAACTTATTTTCGATATTACATCAAACAACCCTTCGAAGGAATTCTTCAAACAGCGGAGGTGAGAATTCATCGAAGAAAAATAAAATTAATGCTCTCGCCTTGCTAGACATGAACTTCATAAAATTATCGCAAGTAGAAAAAACAAAAGCGAAAGCAATCAGAAATAAAAAGGAAAAAATAGAAATAAAGAGTTCGCTGCTAGGAGAAGGAGAACAGAAAGTGCTTCGCGATATCGTTAGAGCCGATTTGGCGCGACAGTGGGAATAAAAGGTGTTGAAAAGGTAAAGCCCTAGTGTTGGTGACTTCAGAATTCCAACTTTAGGAGAATTCAGAATCCGTTCAAATACCTCCCGATCCAATGCAACATAAGACTCCAACTTTATCTTTCTCCTCATCACTATCTCCCCATTCCCTCGGAAAAAAATTGCTGATCAGGGGGAGCTTCTGTAAAGGAGAGGAACTTCACTGTTGATCAAGACAATATTGGGATGTGCTATGCATTCGACTTTTTTTCAGAAATGTACCCATTTGAGCGTGACAGGATTCGCTATACAATGACCTGTAGAGGTCAGTCGATGTACAAATAGCGTTTTTACCTTCCTAGACAAACCTATTTGTTCCCGAAATGGTGATGTAGTAAGCAAACCACTTTGCACTACACCAAGTCCCCACTTATAGAGCGTATTCTGCTCCAAGAACAGCGAAAACCTCGTCACTCCTCCAGAATATTCTCTGATTATAACTTCCCGACCTACCATGACCCACTGGAGCAGCTTGAGGACAGGCTTACCATCACTACATAGTGGGGCGAGTCAACTTAACAAACAGAGTTTGTTAGTTTCCAACTGTATGGTTTACCTTTTTGACCAAGACATCTTTTCCACTATTGGTGGCCTGAACACATTTTAATAGTATCCCCACCCTATTCCCCTACTGGATCGAGTACCTGCGCATGTTCCGAATAGAATTATTTAATTGAAAGAATCATTCAGTTACGAATTGGCAATATCGAAATCTCAATGAAATCATGATGAGCTGAAGAGTTCCATGATGCGACTTCTTCCGATGATGTCCTCCACTCCTTTCACATTTATTACGAATAAAGTCGAGAACTTGATTTTGCTCACCCTCTGCGAGCACTTGCTCAGCTTTTGCAGAGAAGATGAGGCTCTCTCCAAGACAAGCTCACGCAGAAATTTCCGTTTTTATTAAGGCTACTATGTTGAGGCAATCAAAGAAAAGTGACTGTAATAAAAACAAAACTGCAGTAAAGTAAGAGGTAAACGTGAGCACAGGTCTATTCTAAATGCTGTTCCCAATCCAGACTTTACTGCTGCCGAAAAGAAATTAGTCTCGGACACGTCAATAATGGTTGAGTACAGCTTGAGCAGCTGTGCTCGTAGTCGACAGAATTTATGAGGTGTAGCGATGATTTGGTAAGAAAGACCGAAATGTGATCACAGAACGATCTCATAATATCCCTAGCGGCTAAAAGTCTGCCGAGTGCCCTCTCTCAGGAAACGAGTTTCGACATAAGAAGTGTCTCGAGTAAATAGAGATCTACGCACATACATTCTTGCACAAAAGTCTCATTCGTAAAGACAAGGCCAAAGAATCTTCAACGATAAGAGGGCACACACACTCACTTGAACTTCAAGTACTTACCATTACAATAGCGAGCCGATGGAAACCCAAATAGACTCCTGGTTGAACTTCTTGGATTACTGTAAGATCTGGACCACGTCCAACGATTCTCATAAAATGCTGACGATGAGTGCTTGTCGGCTGTTCGCCGATTACTGCCCAAATGCCGCACATGATATGGTTCGATGATGACGACGCTGATGACGACGATGGCGACACCAAGAACGACGCACTGCAACTCAGCTGCCCGCGCCCTAGCTGCTTATAAACGCCGCCGCGACGACGACCGGTTGCGACGCGATGCGCGCGGACGCAAATAAACGCGCGGCACCGCCTGCTGTCGCACGCGAATGCTGACCCTCATCCAGAGGTCACCGCCATCGCGTCGAGGACGACAGCGGCGCGGCGACGTAGGGGCGTGTCCTTCGACACACTACAGCCATGGACCGCGATACAGGTGGGTGCCATTATGCTACTACAGTAACATTACCGTAATCTAACGTTGAAAATGTGGAACACGTCAACTACAGCTGTGGCCCAGTTCTCAGGCAGCAAGAAGTGGTTCAAGCGCAGCGGTGGACAGTCAAGATTTCCGCTTCCGCGTCGACGCGCCACCGGCTATATTTCTCGTGAACAAATAGGATTGAGAGGCGACGCTATGCCGTCATCTTGAAGCTTTCAAGTAGATCCTACAGCAACGAAGAGCAGATTGGGCTGCATTCGGCGCGTTTTGAGGGCACATTGTACCTCGAAAACCCAGACGCGTGGAACCCAAAACCGTCAGGGCGATTCCAGGGAAATTTGGGAAGGACTTGTCCATGGGAACTCAATCGTCAGGTTCGTGCGGTCTCTCGGCGCGCTTTGTTTGACCTCTGGTGATGGAACGCCGCTTTGTCTTTAATTCCAGCTGGAGTTCAACCCTATTTGGAGACGCGTCCATGATAACATAGAATTTTTTTCAATTTTTTACTCATCCTTGTTTCTTTGAAACTCCAAACCCGTATTATATTTGCCGTAGATATTCTGTAAAACAGTTATAATGTAGAGGTAAGTATCACCTCCCCTCTGGTCAATGAAATTAAAAATTAAATAAGAAGGTGTCTGGAAATATGCAACTAAATAGGTGAGGGAGTTCTTCAAATTTCCAATAAATGTTAAAATATTACCAGGATTGCCGCACCTTAACATACGTACCGGATTTACTCATTTTCAGAACGTAGTCCCTTGGATTGAAAACTGGAATTAGTTCTGCTGATTTATCTCTCGCAGTAATTGTAGTAGTTCCCACGTGATTTTTGCAACACCTGCAACATACGTCTATTTGATCGTCACTTTCGTTGGCACCGTGCAGTCTGCGGTCCAAAGAGCGAACGTTGAGTTCAGGAACTTTGTTCCATTTTGCGAGTAGCACGGTTCAGGAAGATAAGTGAAACGATGTTCTCGGGGCAAGGCGATCAGTCAAAGAGCAGCGAAGGCGTTTCTGAACCCAATGGAAGCAAGATGGCCTACTTATTTCAGTGGAATTTGTCGATACCTCCCCTTCCCCTTCGAGCCTATTGCTCGTAGGACTATGTTCTCCAAAGTTATTCTGCCCGATTTTTAACCCTTGAAGTTAGCTTTTCATACCACATCTTGGAGAGTTTGAGTTGGGATGAAAGCTTATCACACACACTGAAGGAATCTCGACCCCTGAGATTAGTGGCATCAATTCAGCCTAGTTTGAGAATCGTTTTCCCGAGCAATTCCGTCGTGAATAGTCTGAAAGCAGCAGAAAGATAAAGCGGCAAGTGGTGTTTACCACGTGCACGGTAGGATTATCAATCCTCAAGCGGTTCCAGCTCGGATCAGCCAAGCCTTTCTTCCTCCGAGTACGGTAATTTGGCATCAGCTTCGTCTGAGAGGATTCTAACACTGACTTGTACATCGGCTGTTGCAAAGGTTTATTCGTAAGGGCTCCCTCTATAGACCACAACGCATTCAATGGATCTCGACGATTCTGAATGGAATTATAATGCGTGCCGCATCCCACACAGGGATTAACCAACGGCGGAGGCTTTTAGGGCATTAAGAAGGAATCTTACCACCCAATGAGCCCAGTACAATCCCTGTTTACAATTTGATAATGTGCAGAAAACAAACCATAATTTCAAAGACTTCTTTCTTCCTGTTTTTTGTAACGTGGTTTCCTCAAACTTCCTTCTATCATTATTCTCCATTTTTCCTTTTCTCTATTCTACTGTATATTTCTGCATTATCCTCGCGTGCCAAACCCACTTACCAAGTGGAACTATGCTGAACACGCTCGAGATTTTTCAGTTGTTTTTTTTTGCTTTTTCCGTTAGTTTTCCACGTTATACAAACCAGAGGACTAATGACGGAAGTGCTTATAGTGAAGGAAGAAATAATGGTAGGTGGACCAGATTTCGTAGCCCAAACAACTCCTGAATGACTTGGTTCCCTGGAAAACAACCGGCTATTTCGTGGCTTGGCTTTGTTGGCTGATATACTGCTTATTTGCTTTCGATTTCTGTACACGAATACCCGGAAGAGAATGTGTTTTGGTTAGGTGATGATCAGAGTCTAGCAATCTTCGACAATCGAAGTGAGAAAGGAAAGTGGAAAGTGCTGGGGAAGGTAAAGGAAAGCGGTTGAAGTCTGGAATGCGTAAGTCACTTGGCGTCATTGGGAATCGTTAAGTAAAGAAGCAGTATTTGTGACTCACAGGTAATTTACTGACTCTGCAAATGTGCAGTTAGGTGATTCTGCGCCCTTGTGTAGCTCCTACGCGGCTAGAACGGCCTTAAAAGGATAAAGTGTAACGTTCTCGCCGTTGAACAGTCATCAGTTCTTGGAATGCGGCACACTTTTCACTTAAATTTAGAGTGGTAGCGACAAGCTGAATGCGGTCTATACAATGACTTGGGGGTCAGATGATATTTGACATCTTTTTATGCTTCCAGACAAATCTGGCACTAATTTGCCATCACCGAAGTCTAGAAGCCCCTAGGCAGGAACTAATTCGGATTTCCACTCGAGGACCACACACGTGTTAGGCTTCTCTTGCCACTACACCACCTCCAACTGCCATAGATCAATGAAAAATTGAGCTACTACTGGACGAGCTCCAAGGAAGTGCTCCTTTCGCAAAAAGCTGTTCTGGACTAGTTAAAATGTAAGCCTCTTGCGAAAATAAGTTTGCACTCGGGATTCTCTTTCCATGAGGGAAGCCGCTGGGATGAAGGGAAATCCTCGGGAAATCCTCGTTTAACGCAATTCATTTCTGCGTGCCTAGAATTCGAAGTAACTCGAGTGGTGGCCGCGACTCAAAAGGTGGAAGATCAGGAAATTGTCTTAGTGTGAGTTCACTTAATGAGCACGCCATCGCCAAGCATGCTTGGAGCCTAGATAAATCACCCATTGTTAAACTAAACAATAGCTTTACTGCAGGCAGCATGAACCTTCGATGGGGTAGAGCCCGCTACGAGGTCGCGTGTACCTTGCAGACTCTTCACTAATGACCACAGTTTTTACTGCCATCATATAGGTAAAGTTTGGCCATAGCACAGAATTACCGCTCATCTCCTCACCATCAGTTCAACGATCTATAACTGGTGCAGACTGAGGAGAGATGAAGAGATGGAGAGAGGTCTGCTTTTCCTGCGCCCCATTTTAATAGCTCAAGGGGACGGTAAGGTGAGGTTTGTCCTTGGCGATTAACTGCTGGCCTTCCCGGGTATTTCAGTCGGTAGCGATTGTCTTACCCTTTTCACTTGAAGGTAATCTAATGTTTAAGGTGTTGGCGGTCTCACGTCCGTAAAAGGTTATTGTGGATAGCCCAGAGGTCTTGGCTTGGCAAAAGCTACAGAGGATGAGTTCACGTGTGTTGAGTTCGGGGTCAGCTTTTTGCTGAGACAATTTTCGAGTACACTCTAACGGATCGAGGCATTGAGTATCCCATTAAATCGCTGAAAAATGAGCCCATCGATGCCGTCAATAAAAATCGCCTTTCATTGGCACACCGAACGTATAGTGAGTTGGCTGTCACTAGAGGGAATTACTGCAAGGCACACGGTGCTATCGATTGGATCTTTCACTCGCAAAAAAAGCTGAGAAAAGGTTACTGTATAATTTTGGTCACCAATACTGTCCGCTGAAGAGCGATTAGTGAGTTGTCGCGGGAATTAGGGACAAAAGGACTAGGGAGGTCTAGAACACGGGGAAACTTGGTCACTTACTACCACCACCGCATCATGTTGCCCCGCTCGGACATAAAATTTCAACGCTGCTGATTTCTTTACCTTCTTTGCTTCGAGTTTTCGAAGTGCATCCTCATTGACGAGGATAGGGTAGGTAAACCATAATCTAAAGGGGAGGAGAGAGTCCCTACCCCTTTCCAATACTCCCACAGTACCTCACCTAGTATACACCTTTTTAATCTCACTACAATTCCTTTCCTCTACTTTCCAGTTGCGTTTTTCTCAACTATGAAAGAGGAGCTCACCTCTAACAGGACCTGCGGATTAAAATTTGATTGGTTCTACCCGATTATCCCGTAGGGTACAGTGGAGTGAAGTTTGGAGAGTGATTTCAAGCGTGCTATTGTTCATGCTTGGGCAAAGGCGAAAAGGCAAGTGCCTCCCCCGTACTACCAGCCGTGGTCCATGGGTCCAATCACGGGTCTTCTCTCGCCACAGCCAACGGAGCCATTTCGGGTACCGAGCTCGTCTGAGAGGTTTTGAACGCGTACTTTTCATCGCTTGGTCTCCGCAGGTCATGGTATAAGCCAGATTGCATTCAAAGACCGTTGACATTCGAAACGGAAGTAGATAGCATGGCACCCTCCGCTCTTTTTTCCGCGTCGCTCGGAGGATTAATAGGTGAGAAAACGGGACGAGCTCACTTATGAGAGGTCGAAGGTCGAGAATTCGAATCCTTTGGTCCTTACTTTCTTTGTACTCCATTCCCTGTTGCTGCAACTGTCCTTTTTCCTTCATAGACGAGGTTTTTGGACGTCTCTTTTTTTCCAGCTAGGGACTCACAACTTTGTGAGAGTGATCAAACTTGCACTTTCAAGGTGCACCCAATGAGATCTTTTGGGCCTGCAGGCGCAGACATAACTGCGTGAACCTTACTCATTTAAAAAGTGCGGTGCGAGTTGTACACTGCGGAAGACT